AGGAAGGCTAATGGTGCCCTGGGCTGCATTAGGGAAAGTGTTGCCAGCAGGTTGAGGGAGGTGACCCTTCCCCTCCCCTCAGCACTGGTGAGGCCACACCTGGAGCGCTGGGTCCAGCTCTGGGTTCCCCAGTACAACAGAGACATGGACATACTGGAGAGGGTCCAGCAAAGGGCCATGAAGGTGATGACGAGACTGGAACACCTGTGAGGAAGGGCTGAGCGAGCTGGGACTGTTCAGCCTAGAGAAGAGAAGGCCTGGGGGGATCTTATCAATGTATATAAATACCTGAAGGGAGGATGCAAAAAAGGACAGAGCCAGGCTTCTCTCAGTGGTGCACAGTGGCAGGACCAGAGGCAATGAACACAAACTGAAACAAGGGAGGTTCCCTCTGAACATCAGGAAATGCTTTTTCACTGTGAGGGTGACTGAGCCCTGGCATGGGCTGTCTGAGGAGGCTGTGGAGCCTCCATCCTTGGAGGTATTCAGAAGCCATCTGGCCATGGTATTGGGCAACTGGCCCTGCTTGAGCAGGGGGGTTGGACTAGATGACCTCCAGAGGTGCCTTCCAACCTCAATCAATCCTCAATTCTGTGATATACTCCTCAACTCTTACTTAGAACGGGGCTGATTCAAGAAAAACCTAGAAACACAAAAAGCTGTAGATACAAACCCTGCTATATTGAATTTGAAAACCCTCACATCTATGCAGACCAGCATTTTTGGTTTTCCCTGTAGCATTGCTTTCTTTCTATACACTTGTTACTTCCAGTTACTATTGGAGTCTATTATAGAAACAGCTTTTAAAAATTATAGTTTCAGAATAATTGTTATAGAGAATCATGCATAAAAGTTTCCTAAGTGGTCCAGACAAAACCACCAAGCAACTTAAGATAAACTTTGATAATGCAGAACAGAAAAAACCCAAAGTCAGCTCAAAGTGAAAACAGAATAGATAAACAGCATGACACAAATTATTTTAAAACAGTGACTACCAGCCTCTGCTTCAAGTTGGCTGGACACAGGCTGCTCTGACTCCTTGGTTCTGGATGTCAGGGCATTTAAATTAAAAATTATTATAGATTTGCATATGCATACATATGAATATACTTTCGTTAGTTACTCATATTTAAATGAAAACATGATCCTAGGTTGGCCCACTGGAATAATACGTGAGTAGGAAAAGGTGACTGGAGCCCTCTGAGTTAAGCAGGAAGATAAGCTATTAATTCAGCAGCATACCCATGTTTCAATTCTCTGAATTTCACCTCTGGTTAAAGGAAAGACAAGCACAAAGAACCACGGTGTTTCATCTGAGCAGGTTCAAACATCAATATTTTAGTTATCCTTACTCAGGTTTTCATTTTTTCCCCTACAGGAATACTTGAGATACTCAAATGAAGAATTTTTGTATCATGTTCAGGGCATACACAATCACATCCACAGACTCACATAAAACCATCATCAGAGTTACAGAGAAGGCTCCCATTGCTTTTGAGCAAATTTTGTCCCCTAATAACTGGAAAGGAAGAGGAGTTTCTACAAATATCATGAGTATTCAGGCAAGTATCTTTGACCCTGCATCTACCACCTGAAGTAAAAATTGCTGCGCCTTATTAAAAGCGACAAAAAAGGGGAAGATGCTCCATCCTTTGAGCCAACATCCATTGATGTTGCTGTCATCCCTGAAAAAGTCCTACAATATGTATACAGCCACAACAAACTTGTTAGAAGTGCCGTTGTGTCAACTGCAATGCGCCATCACCCTGCCATACATCACTCTTAAATTTCAATATTGCATAGGTCTTCTGCGACAAGAATTGAGAGAGCTGCTAGTCCTCCCAGGCAGTAGCATTTTAATTTCAAATAGAAGAGATCTTACAATGTACTGAGGAGTTATGGCATTGTCTTGCAAGATGACTGAAAGATACAGAACCAGATAAGCAGATGAATTCCTGTTGATAGAAAAGCAACTCGGAGACAGAGAGAATACATCACATTGTCTTCTCTATCAAATACGCACCAAAAAGATACTCAGTATCTTTTGAGTGCGGTCAGAGGCAAAATGCCTCTGGCCTATTGTTACTACCAACTTCCAAGTTCCTTAATTTGCCTGCAGAGGATTTGAGGTTACCATTAGCCCAATTTAAGTCACTTCTCAACCACAGGCTGATCACTGTGAACAGCCACCAGAACAATAGGCTTCCGTATAACAGATATAAGAAAGCACGAAGTATATGAAGTTCAAAGCTATCGCCGTTAACTGCTTTGATTTAAAATACTTCAGGTCTTCATCTGAACACAGGACAAACATTTTTAGCAGTCTCTTCCCTTCAGTGGTTATATGAGAATTCTGTAAGTGGCAAAATGCTATATACACAACTGAATAGTTGAATACATTACTAAGATGTTATTTTGAAAGAATAAACCAACCCAAGTTCAAACATTAATTGCTTCGGATAAACAATGTTGGAATGATTTTACCCTTTTGATTAAAACCTCCTTACATCAGATGTTTACATGAACTGTCAAGAGCTGCCAAATGCCAGATAAGATAGCTAGCCTTGCCTACGCAAACAGTGCTCGCACATATACACAACGTCAAACAAAACGGACAGTTACAACAATGAACAAACTATTTTATTTTTCTTGATAGACAAGAACATCCCATTGAAAATAAAGAATAAAAAATATATTCTGCTACAACACTTTGAACGCTTGAATCTCACACTACAGCACATGGTGAAATTCTGGTACTGCAACATCACAGTAATCCCTGTGCACCCTCGTGCACAGAAAGCCTTGAACAAATATTTATATCCATAACCGTGCCATGTACAAAAATGTCATTCCTTAAAGGCCAAACAGAAAAATTAAACATCTTTGTTTTTTCTTATGCCAATGGAAACATAAAAAATGAAAACTGTTTTCAGTCAATTACTTCCACTTAAATCGAACGAGATCTTTTCTGTGCTGAAGAACACTGAAATTCAGTGTAAGAAAGCGTGGAAGAAGTAAGGTATAAACAATACACTGAACATGGGTGGCACGATGTTTTCCTCAATAGATAACTAACTTTCATATGGTTACACCAACAATCAAGTCAGTATTTTCCTAACACAAAGAGGAAATATTCTGTTTCTCCAGTCAATGCTCTGACCTTTTCCTACGATGAAGAGCATGCTTGTATTACTCATCTAAGCATACATGCATCATGAAAGATATGCAAAACAAATCAATATAGATAACCTTTAGTGTCAAATGTCTAATGATGTAATAATAAAAACAATTCTCACAGTCCAAATGACTCGCTAAGTTACAATTGCATTGCAGTCACTTAAACTAACAAAATACTTGAACACTTGTGAGCCACAAAATTTATTATTTTGCAGCAGTATCTCTGCTGAAACCTGAGGAGTATCAGCTATTGGTAAAGCAAGGCATTTTCAGAAAAGGAATTTGTAAAAAATACATTTATACTATATGCTTTCATATAAAAAGGCAGTAAGAAATACAATAAAACCTACCATTTTAGGACTACACCTTCCCTAGCAAATAGTTTTTATCACTTGCACTATTACATACAGTACATTCAGTTTCCTACACAGAAAGTATATTTTCTTGTCCCTGATGTATATTACAATTGGCAGTGACAACAAACCACTTTATTATCACTACTCATTCTTGCAGCTTATACAAAGAACACCAATTTTACCCAAAAAAAAAAGGCTTATCGGTTACATAGTAGCACTTCCTTATAGGAAGTATAAGCCCCAAACATCGGAACCAAATGTGTCTTTCCAGAAATACACCGGAATATATGGCTCAGAGTTAAGGGATGAGTAAGCAAGAGTATTGCATAGTACAGGGATCTCACCTGTATGAATAAACCCACTCTTCGATTGTTTGTCACCTTATGACTCCAGGAATGGACAACAAATTAAACAGGTGCTAATGAATATGAAAGTAGTACACAACTAAATTTACTGGTAAAAAAACAACAAGAAATGGTACAGTTCTCTCTGGCACAGTGCAAAGTACACATTAAAAAACTGAATACATATGTACAGTGTGTATGTATATTTTTATATTTATATAGTATGTATTTCCCTGACACATACACGTGTATATATAAAAAGCATGAACACAGATATCCATGCCAAACTTGGCAAAAAGATGGAATGTTTAAAATGTGGATGCATTGTTCCAGTTAAATCGGTCTGTCCCAGAAATGGCTGTTTAAACAGCCAACATGCCCTTCCATGAAACAGAAATATTTATTGCCTGCATAAATTGACAATATACCGTACATTTGTCCTCATAACTTACCAAAGGACTGATAATCACACTTTATAAAAGCTTTTATTTGTAGTAAGCCCTCTCCTCCATAACCCTTCCCTCCCCACACCTCCATCCCCCATGACCAATTAATATGGCTATTCCCTTTATGGAAATCTAGGAAGAATAACCTAGAGTAATATACTAGAGTATTACTCTGCTGGAGGACCAGACACAGTAATCACTACAGAGATGAGATCTTCTATTTTAAATTTTTCTTGCAATATAAAGTTTACAGCCACCCCTGTAAAAATTATTAACACCTGATGCTGGTTTGTTTTATTATTTTCCTTTGGGATTCAGCTGTTTTGGTTTTGAATATGAACGCGCTGGGCTGAAGTCTGTAACAGAGAACGCACTTTTCAGGATCCAGAGAGCGCTGTTACCCGACCTGCCCGCCCCCAGTATGACCAACTGCCCTTCCCTGCAAACTTTCTGAAATAGTTCACAAAACACTAGAAGGTAATATAGATTTCCGCCTTCCCCCCTTCCCTACCCCCCCTCCCCACCTCTTTATCCTGGACGTCTTTTTTACATTTTGAGAGCACTTTCAAAAAATAAAGGTGATTTATATCAGCAAAATAGTTTCAAATAAAGGCGATGGCTGTGAACCTGAGAGCTTAGTGTGATACAAACACACAAAATTGTGGTATCCCCACTGGCTAGTACTTTCCTTGTTTAAGTCTTTCAATGTGGTAGCACAACTTTAGGGCAGGCCCCAGCTTCAGTCCCATATATTTCATTATCATGTCACTCCTCAGTAAGAGTAGTGCCTTCCCATCGATTTCCTGCAGAAGGAAGAGAATAAACACAACAACATACAACTATTTTAACAAGCTGCATGGTAAAACTGGAAAGTACATTATATTTGTTTATACTGTAGTAAAAAAATTATCTACTATATATAAAATAGTAACTTAGTATAATTTTATATTTACAGATGGCCACTGAAATGGAATTAATTTTAGTATGTTTTTTAGTGTATGATTAAGGTATTTAAGATGTGGAAGAAAATTATAATAAGCAAAAGAAACTGACCAAACAGCCCTCAAAATTAGGTACCAGCTGGGAAAAAAAGTGAATGGGTCAAGGGAAAAAAAAACAAGAAGCTGCAAAGGAAGGTCTGTGCAGTTAGAGATTAAATGATCCAAGCACTGAGGCCTTGCACTGAACCTTGAACACAGCTGTGGGAGGATTCTGGCATGCGCATGCAAACAGTCACACGGAAGAAGGGGTTACAGACCATCTAAATCTGTGAAATAAGGCAGATCTATGTCCAGTTTAAACCAGACAGATTGTTAGGATCAAGACCAAGGACAACTTAGTCAGATTTCAACTGCCTGGTTGAGAAGCTGCTGAAATGTGACAGTCCTAAGCTCTTAGTAGCATTACATACTGTAGACAGGCAATTAGATCCTTAAAACACCACAAAGAAAACCACTCTGCCTTCCTTTTTTTAAACATCAACCTGACAAAACAAGTGACATTTAGTCTTGTTATACAACAGAGAATAAAACATAAGACAGGAAGCTCTGTTAAAAGTTGAGTTTTCCTTCCAATCCATCTGACTGATATTTAACTGTCAGTAGGAGCTGGTGCAGAACAAGGGTGAAATACTAGTAAAGAGCAAGCCAGCCTCTTCTTGGAGGGTCATATCTACAATGAAATAAGAAAAGCACAGTGATAAGGAAGAGGGGAGACCAAAATCAGCACAGAGGAACTGACAGTTTATCTCTTTAAATACCATGTGTAGTTAGACCTTATGAAACCCTACATACAGTTTTTCTAAACAGATTAATTCAGCTGATTCAACTTACTCAATCAACTCAACTGATTCTCTAAATTTTAGTATTAATGACCAAGTGTAAAGCTAATGAGGCATACCAGCATTTCTACTTTGGGATAATCAGTCTCCAAAAGAGACTGTCTAAAAGAGGTGTTGTCTCCATAGGCCTAATGCCCCATTACTGTACATGAGTACCTCGACTCTAGAGGTACCAGGGATGATGGGGGTACCACGGATGTTGGCCACTAGAACTTGGATACTTCCAGAACTGGCATTACTCCATATAAGCTGAGAAGCAGTGGGTATTTACTTTAGTCTAACAAGACTGGAACCCAGAGAAAATATGGAGGAGTTTCAGGTGGAAAAATAATTTTCAGCCTTTCTCTAATATACCAGAAGAGTCTATTCTACCTTCAATTGCAGATAGAGTGATAGACATGAAAACTGTTTTTTAAGAGATTAACATGACACACAGTCTACTAGAACAGAATGGATATGCATCATACATGTCTCCTAAAGAGTTCTGCATGTGGAGCTAGTGCCTGTGGATCAGCTTCCTTCACAAAACGCATTACTTCCTCTATTGACCAGGTGGAAGGATCCTTATTCAATATTCTTGAAGGTTCCCTTTTTAGTGAATTCAGATCCGGTCCAGTTGTGGAACTTGCAGCTTTTTGCATAAAAATATTGTGAAAGGAAGAAGTATCACTAGTCTATACAGGGATAACACATTTCATTTTACATAAGATATCTTAATATTAACATGCACCTTTTATTATGCATTCTTTGCAATATATTAAAATGAAAGATGTTTTATTTTCCTCCAAATAATATTGTACTGTTCCATTTGTCTTTAAATGCCTTATATAACAGCAAATATTTACAGCAGCATAAACATTAGCTCTATGACATACCTACATGGATTAGTTCAACTTGTACTTGGCTCCTGGGTCCCAAGACGCCAGTAATGGGGAATGTGGCAAAGGCAAGTTAAGCTGTGCAGACAGAAGGAGGGACAGGAGGAAACCCTATTCCCATATTTCAGCAATACGGTAATAGTTGGTAAGATGCTCAGAAAGCGAGCTGCATATGACTAGCCCTCCTCGGTCCAGCCTGCTGCAGGGTCCATAACAGCAGCAAGAGGAAGGGCAGCAGGTAAGACCCCTCCCCAGCTTGCACTGCAGTATTAGCGCTAACAGGCTTAGGTTCTGCATGTGCAGTTACGCGAGCAAGCCTGACATGCTAGGCAACAGCACGACATTCCACTCCATGTGCAAGCCTTCCTATGGCAAAGAATGTCTTTATTCATAACTCTCGGACTTTGTACATTAATAAAAGCAGTTATATACTTTGGGAAGTTTAGTTATACAGCATACCTTCAATCCGCCTCTGTATTCGGTTCCTACTCACTTCATAGTAACCACTGCTCCCAGCAGAGCTCAAGGACAGCCTGCGCAGGATGGGGGCTGAATTTGAGGTAGCAGTCACTGGCTGAAGGGAGTTTCTGTAATATGCTGCACTCCCTGAAGTACGATATTCTGTGGAATTTCGACGGGTCGGGCTTGAAGGATTTACAGAACTAAGTGCAGAATCCATAGAGTCCTCAGAAAATCGATGTTCTTTGGAAGTGCTGTTTTCTTCTATAGGTAATGTTTCTGCTACACAAAAAGCAAGTATCAATATGTTCAAAGTGACAGACGTTATACCATTGTTATCAAACTCCCTATGCTCTCCTGAAGATACTGAACCTGTTAACTAATCTCCTCTGAGGCAATCACTGCTGCTGAATGTTTGTCCCTTTTCCTCATTGGGCTCTTACTGTATTTTTAAAACATTTTTTTGTAGCAAAACATTTAATACATCAGGTTTGAGGTAGTCTTCCATAAATCACTTGAGTTGTATTTGTTAAATACTATGAACAGGGAAGTGACAGAGGAAATTTTTTGGGGTAAAGGTGTCTGATGATAATACTGATATATCAAGCAATCTTAGTCAAGCATTTTCATTATCCTTTTTTAAACATATTCTCAAAAAGCTAACCATTGAGAGTGTGTTACATTTATCTTGCAAGAGATTTAAATAAAAACTCTCATGTTAACTAGCAATGGTTTGAGTTGTTCTAAACAGCAGAGGGAGTAACTTCATAAACAAGTGGACAGTTATCTCTAGCTCCCAATACGCTCAGACACAGAGGCCATCGCTACAAACTGAACAGGTTACAGGCAAAGCCACGGAAGGCTGTGAGTGCCAGGTACCGCATGCTACCGTAACACCTTTTGACCACAACGCTCTACCTAGGTACTGTTAGTTCTTTGCACAGGGCAGGGTCTATGAGCACAGACTCTGGAAAGCTAGATGTGTGTAAATGACTGAGCAAGTTAAAAAAAAAAGAATCAGGTCTCAGGAAGGGAGCGTAACAACATTCCCCTTTTTAGTTCTTACCACTTACCAGGTAACTTCTACTCTGCAAGACACAAACAACGCATGTTTAGAAGACTCATGAATTTTTAGAGGCTGTCAATACTGTTTCTAAGACAAGTAAGCAGAGTTCAGTGGGTCCCTTTCCCTGTGCCAGAAGACAGGACCCAGGTTTGCTGAATTATTGAAAATTCCACTCTCAGTCAACTGAACTCAGGTCTGATTGGGAGAAGTGTGTTACATGAAGGGAAAAAAAAAACCCAAACCCAAATCAATGAGAACACTACTCCATTCTCCAGCAAACATACATATTCTTCTCTGCATCAGGCCAATACCTAGCCAGAGAAAGAAGTTGGAAGCGTGATGTGCAAATCTGTATGAAACAAATGCCACTTTGGCAGGAGAGTTAAAAGCTGGGAAATATAGCTAACAGGTTCACAGAAGTGTAAACCCCACACTACCATCTTGAAAATTACTCTAGTGAAGTTATAAAACATATGCTAGTGAAGCAGCATATTCTTTGGGATAAGAACTGGTATGTTCTGCAAAACAAGTTCCTGAAATAAGCTTTTTACTTATCCTTCTTGTGTGACTACTTTCAAGAATTTCTTGGGTGAATACCCAATTAAAACTAAAGGAAGACTATTTTCCTATTTTTCCCAGTGAGCCTCTCAAGCATGTTTTCAACTTGCTTCATGAGGTCTTAGGTTCTCTGCTGAAACCTGTTTAAAAGTGGAGTGCAGCGAAGAACTGTTAAGCGTATTTTGGTCTTCAGACAACGTAATCCTGAAAGGGAGCAAAGGCACTCAGAGAGCCAGCTCCCTACATAGTGAATTTGGTAAGGCAAGACCTGCAAGACAACATAACATCTTTTACTAAACTTGATAGTTTTGGAATAAAGCAGCTTTTATGGACACAACCCCTTCTCTTTCACACGTACAACCCTCAAAACAACCACTGCAAAACTTTCTTATGTAAGATTTAAATCACAAAAGCAAGGAAGCAGCTACTGAGGTTTTCAAAGAAAACAAACAAAAAATAAAAGTAACTTTTTGCATTTGTCAGCCTGAAGTAGTTGCAGCAACTTACCAAAATGAAAAACAAAAGCCATCATTCTATAGAATTTCAGAGAGACTTTAAGAGATGTAGTCGATGATATGCACTATAAAACTAAATGGTAGCCAACCAAGGGAAAATCAGAACTGTAGAGAATGAAACCACTAACACAAATCTCAGTCCAAGACCAAAAGGCAGAGGTGGTCTTTAAGCAGTTACAGCAAAGCTATATGAAGGAGCCTAAGGTTTAACTGACTGAACCTGTAGATTGTTTAACTGACTGAACCTGTAGATTGATATTTCAGAAGTCTTGAAGGGTAGGATGAAACAACGAAGATAATACTCCTCAGCAGAAAGTTTCAACTAGAGTATTTAAGCATATATCAGCCAACTCCATGTAATAACTTAAGAAACAAACGTTTCTGTAGTTATAGTAAACAAGCCGAGGTCCCAAATATAGGGTTTTTTAAAAATAATTGTTTTCTGTAATCCTTGTCAAGATTTCTGAAGACACAAGGATTTTTACAATTGACTATATTACAAAAGAATTTAATTGTATTTACTCCAGTTATATCCCAGATTTCTCTCTGATGCTATATATCCTAACACAAACAATAGTAAATAGGGCTGGGAAAGATCAGCTCTGCTTTTCTTACCCAAAATACCAGCATTTGAATTAATTTTACTGTAAATTCGCAATTCACATACACAAGGTAGAAAAGCTGGCATGTTTCCCAGGGCCATCGCCTTTTAGATAAGGTGTTTCTGTTCAGCAACTACAGTGTCCAATCCACTTCCCCTTCCATCCATCTAGCTTCTCTACAAACAAAACGCAGCTGCAATCTTGTTGAAAAAGTGGTCAACTGGTATGACAGCTGATTGAAAATCGGTGCCTAACAAACGGTGCTTTGCAATCCACGGAGCAACGAATGGCACACTTCTCCTACCTCGACATTTTGAGCAGTTGTAAATAACAGTGGTATGGAAAGAGACAGGAGGTTCCCCTGCAGAATTCCTGATCTCTGGATAGATTAATAAAAGGCCATAAAAGGCCTTATGTTTCAAATGTAAGGATGACAGACTGTTTAAACACTGAAGGCCTTAGCAGGAATCGGACGTTTTGTTTTCTTGAAGCTCCTTTGGGAATTAGAAGCCAGTTGTTCTGCCTCATACATAACGGGAATGATGTAATCAGCCACAGTAGTAAGAACACTCTGTTTTCAGGGGCAGGGAGACTGAGTTATTCCACACACCCCCCCCTTTATCTTTCATAGCTTTAAGAAGAAACTGTTAAGAGAGCAGGAAAGACAGCAAAATCTGCAAAACATATCCCTGAGCAGATCAGAAGGAAAATGAGCTATTTGAAAGACCCTTTCCCACAATTATTCCATTTTGCCTTCAAATGATATTTCAAAACAACTATTTCAAGACAACTATGTCTCAATGGAACCAGAACTTTTTGGGGGCAGATCTTTCTTGCTAACCAACCCATGACTGACCGCTATAAAATTACCTCCAGATTTTCAACAGAGGACATTGCTCTAATGGGAAACACACAACACTAGAGAACACTTTGCCTCTTGAAATGCACAGAGTACAAATGCAAACCTCTGAAACCACAGCAAAACACTAATTTTAATTATTTTTTTTATCCAAGTGCACTTTATAATGAACTACTGATCTAAAAATGTATTTTAAGGAGTGCACTGACTTAATCCGTAAAAGGGATCCATTAGCAAACAAGGATTAAAAAGCAGTATGTACATGCATGTTTACTTTGAGGAAGATTTCTTACAAGACAATGCAGATCTACTCAAACATTTGTTTTGCTCCAACTGAAACAACTTAATTTGAGTATAATAAGTACTCTACACTTATTAAGTTACCTACCAGAAATATCTGACTTAGTTGTACAATATATCTGTGGAATTAAGCTGGTACTTCGTTTGGAAAGACACAGAAATCAATAATCAATGCAGAACTGCATTTCCTGCTGCTGCTATTATATACAAAGAAGTGAATATGCTACATATATATATAAAATAATAAGATATGCCATTTTAAATAAGCTATAATTTTGAACATTTTGATATCCTTTTCTGCTTTAACTGTAGTCCCATGACTTTTTTATCTGCAGAGAAAGAGAGATCATTCTGACCCCACTGATGCTAATAGACACAAAATGACCCCAGTATCTCCAAAAAGAAGAAAAAAGAATATGAAGGAAGAAGTAACTAATCCCCATCATATTTCAAAAAAGCCTTTGGAAATGCTGGGCAAATGCCTTGCAGCAAGAGAAAGTATGCATCAGACAGGACAAGTCAACATCAACAAGTAACTATGGCTTAACCAGTTAAGTAGCAAATGTGGAGTAAAAAAACCACATTTTTGTAAGTCTCTCACTGAGGTTTAAACCTAGATGCTTTACTTCACATGGGAGGCAGACTAAGACTAGAGACGTGCTCAGTTCCTGCAGCTGAGCTGCAGCGCAGGAAGAGGTGCTATTCAATAGTGAGCTAAATCAATCCAACAGCCAGCTGCCACAGGGGGGCTTTGCAGCTCCCATGGCCATGCCTGCATTTTATTCAACCCTTCCCTGTGCTCATCTGAGCCCACGGTGAGTCAGTCCAGGGAAGTAAACTGTAAACTACTCTCTGCTTCACCAAAAAGTTTTCTGTGCTTTTGCTCATTGGTTCAGCTCACCACCCAGCCAGGGGGCCTGGGACCCACTGCAGGAGCAAGGAACGCAGGAGCAGCACAACTTTCAGTGGCAGGTAGCCATAAACTCAGCTGAATCGTATCCCCAAGCTTCCTCACCCTTACTCACCCAATGGCCCCAGCCTAGAGTTATTAACAGTTGCTTCCAATTTATCTCCTAATCCATTTTGAGGCAATTGGTTTTCTGCTGAACAGCCGTATATGAAGCAGGAGGCTTCATCCATCACCTATTTGCCTGAGCCCCTTCACAGAAAAGGCTAGCAGGTTTAGGAGAAGGACTGCTGCAACTTGCAGTAGATCTTCCCTAAGTGCAAAATCTGTGCCAGTGATCAATAATTAACACACTTTCACCCTGACCTGTCAAAGGCTAGAGACAAACCAGATACATATGGTGAACTCGGTCCTTTTTGACTGGAAATACTGAAACCATAAATAATCCTCATATATAATCCCGACATGATGTAATTACCTTCGGATGGATGAGCATCATTTCTGGGAAGCTTAGGGGAAAGAGGAGCAGTATATGGTGGAGAGTCCTGAGAGTATCGCTTAGCGCTCCTGTTTTCAGGTATTTCTTCTTTTGCTGTGAAGAGGAAAGTCACCACCTATTATTCTAGCACATAGCTGCTCATGGGGAAAGTCCAGGGACAAAAGCAATACATCAGCCATTCACCAGGTTACCATTCAATTTCTTGTGTCACGCAGACTCAAGTCATTTCGATACAAACTTTCAAGGCTGAAGTACAGCTTAGTTTATACTGTCATCACCCAAATCACCTTGACCCTGGCTACTTTTCTGAAAAGAGTTAAAACTAATGACTTTCATATGACAGACAGTATTATAAACATAATTCCTCCATTGGATAGGGGAGGAAAAAAAAAAAAAAAGAATATTTTATTTTCTAAAGCAGCACCCGGAAGACAGACTCAGCTATCAGACAGCTGTGAGGAAGCTTCACCCCCAATATGAATCTTCTGAAATTGCCCCGATACCAAGGTTTTCTCAGCTATGGCTCCTGGTAACCCTTGGGCTGGGACTTGTTACACCAGGCCCTGCAAACAACCTGATGGGAGATCTTGCATAAGGCCTTTCATTTCCCCCTCACTCTATGCTCTGGGTGCAGCAGAGAAAGATATCGGCCTCAACAAAATATCACAAGCAGTCACCCACAAAACCCACCTTTTCTAGTAGAAGACTGGACTATACATCGTAGAAAGTAAAATTGTTGGGGCCACCACTGAGTAAGGTGAATAAAAAGGGAAGAAAGGACCTTTTATTGGTATGGGAAGGGCTAGACTGAATCCACTTTCAGGGCAAGCCCCTTCTCATAAGGCAGTAAGTATCTTCTTGCAAGTTTATTTTATGATCTGAACATAAATTTAACAAATGAAATGTGAAGTTTTGAGCTTGTCCTTTTAGCAGTATTACAGTGGTACAATACATATGTTTCCTGGCTTGGCTACAAGGAGGAGTTTGCCGAACAAAATGATTTCTGCACGTGTGGTATGAGCTATCCCATCCTGTCAAAGCACTACCGCACTGTAACCGATTCACCAAGAACTGAAGCGTATTCATTTCAATCAGTTCACGTCACAGAAAGACAGATTAAAAAGTTACATTTCTTAAAGTCGCCACACTTCTCAAAAACATCAGCGCTCGGAAATAACCGCTGTTTAACAGTACCTGGTTTGTTCCTATCATACTCCGTTGGACTGTGTGCACATCCCATGTAAGGGCTGAAAGGCTGGCTACTGAAGAGATTATCACACTGCAGGCTGTGGCAGAGCTTCTCCAAGAAGCGTAGGACAAATGATGCGCTGTTTACAGAAGGAAGATTGATGGCATGCTTTTCCCCATCAAAGGAAGCTGTGAATAAGAAGATGATGTCAAACACCCCCCAAGCATCATGAAGTATAGTAAAACACCATCATTAACTTAAAGGAAAAGACATCCAGATTTAATTTAAGCCACAAAAGGCGTGAGAGGAGTAAACAGTCATTCTGGTAGTGTAACAAATTTACATCCAAAGGACTGATTTTACCTTCTGTTGGATCCATGCCAGTTTAGATTGGCTCTATGGGAACTTACTTTAATAAAATAATTTTGGATTCACACCAGCACAACAAAACTTTCAACTATTCCCTCATCACCAAAACCTTATGTATAATTTCTGTTGTTTACTTACAAAACAGCAAACTCTCCACCACCTATTTGCAGGAGATAACACAGAAAAGATCCCTTACAGTACTTGCTAAAAAAACAAATACAAAATTTAAAAAAAAAAAAAAAAAAAAGGAAGCAAACAACTTTATTTTTTTTTTCTCAGTTTCTATCTGAACTGAGCGTACTTGTGGTAACGTGCTGGCATCTATTACCACTGAAATTCTGACTACAGAAACTGTTTTGCCACTTGCTATTTTATCACTAAAGAATTCTATCCTGCTATCAACACTACAGTGGCCAAGCTCCTATGCAGAAATACCACAAGAGCTGCAAGGGGATCTGGTGTCTTTTAAACCAAGCGATTACAAAGTGCTTGGACACGTGCCTATGTCTTTTACTTGACCTCCTTCCTTGCCCCCCAACAGAGCACTGCAGCTGATGATATTTTCCTTTTTTATGAAAATCAGTAAGATTTTGAAGACTCAATACTACCAATATATGGATAAATAACTACCATTACATTAGCTGAAGCTTTTAGTTACTTCCGATTAGAAAGACATTACAACAAAGCAGGAACAAACTTCTAACTTAAGCTTAGGGCTAAAAAGAAGCGGCATGAACACCAGGTTTATGCATCAATTTGTCTTCTTGGTTTTCAGCCTGTCATGCAGCTTTCTGTTGTAACATAAGTTTCCAGACGATAAGTAGAGCTTTAAAGGATCACATTTTGTCGGTAGCAGATGCATTAAAAAAAAAAAAACAAAACCAACCAAAAAAACCCAAACCAGAAATGACAAGAAAGCCTTTACTCACAGATCTGAATTAAGGAACATTTCCATATTGTGTTACAAAAGAGACAGATTAATATACACAAAACCAAAGAAAACTCCCAAGTTTAGAATATTTTAGGCTTCTTTGGGAAATCAGAAGTGTCAATTACTCATACTGTTGATGTAAGGAAGCTTCTGATTAGAGTTAATGCAAGTTTACCAGCTAGCATCAACAACAATGTGCCACCTCTCTCATCTGCTTTCATGACAGACTGACCCAATGCAAGTGCTTATAAAGTTTAAGAGTCAGTACTACAGGGACAAATCCCAGACCAACGTGTTTCCATGGCCCATTCAGTTTTTCCAGGCTCCAACGTTCAAATGAAATGCTAATGATTCACAGTCCCACATGTGGCTCAGACACAAGGTCCTCTACCTCCTGTTTGGGGAAAGGGTCTCTGAAGGCAAATTTTTGCTTGGAACTCAACCAGTTCTGGAGAGCAAATGGGCTGTGAGACCTAGCAGACCCTGATCTCCTGACACATTTACTGCAAGGTAGTAGCCAGCTACAGCAAAAATTTAAAATGCTTTATAATAGCCTTATGGATGTTCTTATGTGACCTGGGGGAAATCACTTATTCTCCATGCCTTAATTTCTCATTTTGAGAAGAAGCCTTGAAAACAAAAATATTATCTTAACGTTGTCAGGAGGGTAAAGCAAGAAACAGCTGAGGCAATGTGACTACCCCAGCAAGACATACCATGGGAAAAATCCACAAATAAAGATTCAGTGCAAACACAGCTCCCTTGTACTCTGAACACCTGAGGGCAACCATACGAACTCCAACCAAGGGTGTGGCATCCAGATCCATAGGCTCAACTGTCTGCTCTGCTTGGGGACAACATAAGCCTCTTACTTCCCAGAAAAATGCTAGGGGAAAAAATAAAGAGGAGTACTTCTGAGGTGCAATAACCTCAACCTTTTATGACAAATAAACAGGGACTGAAGCTTGCATGCACAATCTGAGCCCCTGGGATGAACAGTCACTCTCATTTCTTCACCTTCCACTGTGTAAGTATGTTTTAAATACCAGGTTCAAGCCAGAAGAAAGGCTGAGAGCTAAACTATCAGAGAAATGTGTTTGTCTGATAGTGAAGAAACTCACTGAAGAGTCTGATTTTAATTCTCTGCTTGAGAAGATTTATCTGAGCCTCAGTCTGTTTCATCCTACCAAATGCCATAGCCTCTGTGCTACAAGGAGAAAAAAAGGGGCTGACACCACCACCATTAGTGGGTTTGCTAATCAAGCCTTTAATTTCCTTTCAGTTATATTTGCCTGAATTGAAACCTTATGCATCAAGCAAAAATAAAATGGTTTGTGCTTTTGTTTGAGTAAGAAAAGATGGAAAAATCCTAAATTCAAGTCTATTCAAAACAATTATTTTCTTTGGCAGCTAAACTGAAAGAACCTGCTAATTATTCACATGTATTCTAGCAAGATTATTTTATCCACATCCTCATCAGCATATAGTTTCCTCCTACGGCAGGTATAATACTCGTCATGAAAGTATCAGTCCACAAAAGATTTACATTTCTTTGCTTATTCTCTGCTGCAACTTTTTTTTTTTCCACTGGCAAGAAAAAAAATCCTGAACAATAAACCACACCCCCAAACCACTTTCAAACAAAAACTCTACAAGAAAACACTCTCACAATTTCATTCTGTAATCACTCATTTTACTTTACTGTAGCTTTCCTCTTCTTCCTTACTGTTCACATGCACAGCTGGTTGTAGTGTGCTACATTAACCTAAGTCACATTTTGTGCCTCTCAAAATACATCACACACAAGTTTCTGATAAAATGACAGGGAGTATTTGCTCACCCGCTTCTCAGCAACCTGTTTGACAAGCCGATGAGAAGGCAAGAGCTCAAGAACACCAGAAACCCACTGGGGTCTTGTGGCTCACTATCACCTGGACCAGGACTCTGCTCGAGGAGCAGTCCACATCACCAAGTTCCTCAAACCCAGGGCCACAGAGCTGGTTTCTCTGAGTCCAGGCCTTGGGGTGAAGCCAGGTGCAGAATAGTAATTCAGTTTTGTACAGAATTTCTGAATGTAAACAAACCACTATAAAGATTTTGAAATTTCTTTCTCTTCTCTGGAATAATGATTTTCAAAGACTTAGTCACAGCCCAGTTATGCCACTGGCCTACAATTTAGTCCTCTGTGATAAGCAATCACGAACAGAATGCTGGCAATGCACATCTCAGTGCATTTTGTTCAAGAAAATTGACTTGTCTGAATTAGGTACAGCAAGGTATTAGTGATGGAATGAACTTTCACGTATCTTGCAGAAATACAGCAATATGGGTTCCAAAACCACACGTATAGAATGCCATTAAACCTTTACTACACAGCAGAGAAGCAGCATCCATTTTGTGAACAAACTCACAGGGATGCGTAAGCAAGGCTTACTGTAGTTCTGCTATACGCAGGTTAGGATGCTGCTTTTTAAATATTGTTAGACAGCAACATCTTTATGAGGATTTAATTGAACCTGTATTCCACTAATCATCTTTCACATCTGGTGTTAATATAAGGAGATTAAAGTAACGCAAAGTCTTTTTATCATCAGTGATGGAATTATGAATTGATGTGCTAACTGCTGTATAGAGTATTTCCTAGTCTAGAAGGAAAAAAAACCAAAAATGTCAAGAAGCAGCTATTCAGTTTGACATATAGAGATAATTTATCTGTAGACTTGCCATTAATATGTAGCAGAAATAAACCTATTCCATAATAGGGGACATAGGTGGATGAACACTAACCTAGAATACTGCTACAATTCTGGGGAATTGGGAGAAGGGAAGAAGCAGCAACTTTAACATATGGAATCACTTGCCTGGAAGCTAAACAGATTAGTTTGAAACTTTTCATCCACTTGGTTAAGGCATTAAGAACACAAACACTATGTATGGATAAGATTATGCAAATGACTTGAATTAATAAAGCTGGTATTTCACTTGTACTGAGTTTACTTGACAAATGTTTGGCTACAGCTGCTAAATGAGGTGCATGAGCTCTACTTAGTATAAGAATCTAACTGTATCGTGTATACGTAATTTAACACTGCTATTGCTAAATTCTAGTTTAAATAATTGTTCAAATCATCCCGGACCCAGAATGAGATAAATCACACGCCACCAATAATGTCTTAGTAAAGGAGTTAATCTTCTTGACTGTGCTTAAATAGTTAGAAAAGTGATATAAACTCATTGCAGCTACTTCAGTTCTTCTGCCCTACCTCGAGTTCCCAACCAAGTGATGAAACAAAGCAATTTCACATACCAGTTATCATCTCCCCTCCGTGATGGCCAGATTTCAGAAATCCAAAGACTGTTTTGGATTGATAGGCACAATCCACGCAAGCCTGTACAGCCTGCTGAAGTACCACATTGACAGGACCTGGTCCAAAGTGATCTGGAAGTTGCTGAACCTTCTTCTTATCCAGGTGAGGCCCAGAATTTCCATGCTTGTTGACATAAACACACACTGAAAAAAGAATAAACCATATTTACTACCAAGGGACTAAGACATGTTTCCAAGTTAGAACTGCAAACCATCTTTTTAGTTTTAATCCTGAGGAAAAGATTAATTGGTCAACATGCAAAAAGTGCTCTGTCTTATATCAAGGTTTTACTGCCTGAGTCCTAAACCCACTTCTTTCTGGTCTCTAAAGCGCTTCTCTACCCCATTAATGTAACAAAGCTGTCATAATCTGTGCTTATCTTTTATTTTGACTAATCTCTCTTCATACACTAGTTCCAATAAAGTAAGAATTGCTGGCAGGTACTCTAAACTACCAAGATGCAATTCTAAAAGCTAGCCTTACCAAGTTACTGCCCTATTTTTTCTCCTGTTTGAGAAGCTCCAACAAAGACAACCCTATGGTATATACCTACCACTAATGCTCACTCTGAAGCACCCATATAGCATTAATGTGTGCGTGTATAATGGTTCTATGTGCGTGTATAATGAAGGTCTGTACCTTCAGAAGCTCCAAATTGCTCAGATACCATTTCTCTGCTAAGTAAAATAAACATACTTCTCTAGAAACACTGTAAGGTGGTTTAAAGCTTAGCACAAAATAATCAAATGTGACTTTTGAAATTACTTTTTATAGACACTACGCAAAACTGTCTTTCAAAAGGAATGGCAAGGCAGAAAAACATGGGAAAAAGCCGTAACCAAAGATTTTTTTTTTCCTTTTTGGCCTTGGCTGTCACATGACCAGGAATGCACCCAAGACATTATTACAGCTTAATGAAAAAATGTGCCTCTGTGGTGATTAAGCAGACAATGTAAGCATTCTGTCATACAAAAGACTGCCATATTTTCTGAACTGTAGTATTATTTGGGCTTAGTTAAAAAACCTGGATTTTTAAAAATGAAATATTTCTCTAAGCGTTTTAATGTCTTCGTGTGTATCTGCTTACTCTCTGATGCCTGCAGGAAACCTGTATGTGCAATAATCAAAGACACAAATCAGCAAAAATAGTTTTCATGGCATCTTCTGTCTGGGCTCAATAACTGCCTCCTGAAAGGTTAATTTTCCTAGGAAAAACATACATATTTTCCTCTCATCCATGACTGAAGTTGGGATTGAGAAGAGCCTGACTTCTACTGTAAAAACAGTTTTTAAATGTAAAAAAGCATCCCAAACAAAATTACCATAATTTATGGGGTTTTTAGAAAGTTCTGAGATGTCAATTGACAACATACAAATTGTTTCACTACAGGGTTACAAGTTCCTCAACGAGTTAGTTCATTAACTAGCTTATTTCTTTTTTGCCAACCCTTCTCAAGATACATTTCATTATATTTCAAAAACAAGCAAACATAAGAGGAAAGAGGAATGTATTTCCTCTGATTGCCTTGACTTGGTTTAAACAGACTGAGTTGTTTCTTTTAATGTAAGGCTACACAAAGATAAAATCTCCATTTTGTTACATTACAGTACAGCCTGCATGATATCAGAATATCATATGGGTTTTTTAGCTACATCTATTCCCATTTGATACATTAAGGAGTGGGACAGACATGAAAGAACTGTACAGTTTCCTTCTTCAGACAGGAACAAACTGCTGGGTCTAGCAGATCTATCAAAAGCCCCTGTGCTCCAGCACTTCTTGCTATAATGCAGGCATCAAAATACTAGTTCTGCAAAGTAACACTGGCACCTACAAATATCTTCAAAAAATAAGGCAGCTGGATGATGATTTACAGTAATAAATTTGCAGCACATTTTCCATAAAATGACACTAGTAGTTTGCTTGAAATGGAAGCCATTTCACACTAAAAATGTCATTAATTTTTTTTCTTTGTCTTTTACCTGTGGATATAACTGTTGCAGTTGCACCAGACAAACTAATTCCATCTTTAAGTATCTGTGTAGTGCCACTGTCCCCCTCAGGAGAAGAATGAGGAGAAGGAGATGCAGGAGTCAGTTGTTCTGGCAAGATTTTTTTCTGTTTAGAGAAAAAAAAACCAAAGAAAAAATGTTTAATGTTTTTTAAGGAGTCTGCAAAACCTTTCTGCTATCAGTTACCATGTTACTGAATGTGTGTGGTTCCTTATTACAGAAGTACTACACGCAGCAGAGAAAACTAAGACCAGAAACTGTCCGTTTGCATTTACAGCTACTTAAGTAAGGCAGTGGAAGACAAATGGCTTAAAAAGGAACCCACCTCTATCTGAAGAGAGGGAAAATAATGAGCTTTATATATTAACTTGTGACCCTTCTAAATCTTAGGAAGTAAAGAAGAGGTGTTTTGGATTATTTTCCTGTCCATCCCCTTCCAATCACCTGTGTTTATCACAGCTCAGATCAGTTACTTGGGCTGTGTATATATTCCCATATAAAACTTGAGCCACATTTAGGTGTCAACTTTACAGTGCACCTAGATTTTCCCTCAGCTTGTTTCAAAGGGGCTGAAATTCTCAAGTAATCACTTTCAGGAATTGGTGCTTTACACAAGATATCAAATAAACCAGTTGTTAGAGTCTTGCCAAGTGGATTGCCAAAACCTTTTCCTTTCCCAAACCAAACTTATTTGCAGCTTATCATATGACAGACAACCAGAGTTCACAGCACAGATTTAGAAATTGGTCAGTGTGTACTACCTTCCACCTGAGGAAAGGAGAATTTTGTTATAATTTGGTTTGGTCTGGGGTTTAGAAAAGAGATAAGCACAAGGAAGGCATTTCTAATGTGCTTTGACATGCTATGAAATTACATGGAAATAAAAGAAATAATGAATTGGAGAAAAGTTCATCACTGCTCCCTTCACCATTTATTCTTGCATGAGACCAGATTATGTTCTCATTCTCTTACCTACCAAAAAAAATTAGGAATATAAGAGGTTACCCAAGGTCTTGACGCTGCTGAAGGCAGCAGAGACTTAGCTACTCAAGTGGTAAGGATTTACTGCTAAAATTGGTCTACGAGGAAGTAAAAATTCAGTCAGGTTGCTAGGGAAGGCTAAGACCTCTTCCATTTAGCAGTATTCATCCTTTACACTTTTAGAAGCAGCATAGTTTCCAATATAATATATTAAAAATCAGGCAGAAAGCAATCAAAATATACACCTTCCTAAGAGCACCAGTGCTTAACTTCTTCACAATACCTATAAAGAATAAATTAACTTTCTTCTGAAGTCCAGGGCACTTTAAAGAAAATTTCTGTGCCCCCTACAGTTCAGAGAAGATAGGCTTGGCTGGAGAAACTACTTGACAATATGGCACTGGGTGGAATCGCCATGAACATAAGGAACAGACTGCCAAAGCTTGGCATTGCACTGTGAATGAGCTGAGGTGGCTCAGGTCACACACTGCGCCAAGCAGTGATGTATTACTTGTCAGGACCTGCCTATGTATCTTAACATTGGGTGACAGAAAGGTCTCTCTCCATCCTTAATACAGAGAACAAAAACGCACTTGGGACGTTTGAGCTTTTGATCTGAAGTCTGACATTCCTGAAGGCCCCTCTGGAGCAGGGACTCCTTGGGGGGGCAGTTGTCTGTCACCACACTGCAAAATATGGGTGGTCAAGTTGAGGGGAAAGAAGAGGAAATGGAAGAAATGTAGGCATGAAAACAAAATACAAACACCAAACTGCAAGAGAGAGGAACTATCCACCATCCGCCCTAGCATGTAAACATGGTGAGGCTAGCCGGCCATTCCTGACCTTCTCCTTCAGAAGAAAGAAAGAGCATGCATTTTGGAAATACAGCACATTATGCTTGCTCCGCTGAGGTTCTCATTTTGCAATCCCAGACTGCCAGACCACATTCCCAAGCAGGGCTCAGCACATTTGCCTGGTCAGGGTGTTGCCGGATGTCCCCTGCCAGTTGGGAGGGCACACCAGCTCTGTTTGCCTGCAGAGCTCTGCCCACAAGTCTGGCACCACACAGTCAACTTCACAGGCTTTACTCTAACACTTAAATAC